ACTTCAAAGAAGTATATATTGCTCATCTTTTGGTATTTTTGAGTGATTCCAAATACATCGCTCTCTTAAAAGGGTTATTAACAAATCACTTCAAAAGTTTCAAGGAGTTTTCATGTGTAAGAAACTTGATGATGAAGAAAGCTTACAAGTCCTCTAGATGAACCCTCAATTTCCCATGCGTGACTTCAAATAATCATAACTTGGTCAATTTTTATCATCCTTAACCCACTCTTTTTCCATAATGATCTTGAGGATGTGAATTTTAGTCCTTCTTTTATGTGAAAAGTGAGAAAATGAATGGAAGAGTCCCTAAGGATACAAAAGATTTTAGGTCATTTCATGATTTTTTAGCCAACTTCAACAATTCATAACTCTCTCAATTTTTGGATATTTTGAATGGTTCAAGTTTCAAAATTTCATTCAAGAAGTCTATTTCATGCCATCTTTTTTGGTCTAGAGAAAATTCCAAGAGGAAGGCCATGTTTGGATGCAAAACATTATAGGTCACTTTTGAAGAAAAACTTGAAATATTTCTAAGTATAGAAAGTCAACCTTTTTTCCCCAAATTTGACTCATTGCAACTTTCAGCTCAAACATCCATTTGATTCCATTCCTTTCCCTTTGTAAAGCTTGTAACCTCATCTTTCTAAAGCATCAAAAATCATGCCCTAAGACCCCTTGAGCTGAGAATGCCATTGATTTGAACTTGGTAACTTGAAACTGAAGTTTCTTCAAAAGTCAGAATTTGAAATCCTTGATTTAGCTTCTAAACATACTGTTCCTGCGCGTTTTTGCTTCTAAACATGTTTAGTTAACTTCCATAAGTGATTAGCATAGAAAAACGCGCGTTTTTGATGAGTTTTGATCAAAATAGAAGTCACACTTTTCTTGTTTGCAACTTCACACGATTTCCCTCCAAACTTCATCATTTCACACGCTTGAGCATTCCATTTGATTCCCTATAAATAGAGGTTCATCCCTCATTCATTTCCTTAAGCTTGAAAAGCCAGAATCACCCTGCCAAACTTGCTCCATAACTCACTTTTCTGCAACTTTGAAATCAGTGTTCAAGCCTTTTTCAATCCATTTTTTCTATCAATTCACCTTCTAGATCTTCCCTGAAGCTAACCATACAATTACCTTCAAGATTCGTGACCTATGTTGATCTATAGAAGTCCAGTTTCCGAGCTCTGCAACTCAACTTCAATAGGTAGATTTCTCCTTCAATTCTTCAAAACTTTGATATCATTGTGAAGCTCTCATTGCCCTGGTTCTAGTCACAACACTTGCTTTTATTTGGAAACACGTTTTGACCATAAAATTTCAAATCCCTTTTCAAAACTTTCCTTCCAAATTTCTTGAGCTACAATTTATATAAATTTTTCGCGAAGGTGTGGTTGTCTTCGGCTTGAAGAGACGATGTGAATGGCATATGTCTCGTGCTCTAATTTTATAGTTTGAGTGACCTGGTTTTGGGACTGGATGGAGGTTGAAGATGACCAACGTGTCATCTTCCAACCAATGATGGCGTGCCATTTGTATTTTTTGAATTTCTGATTTTACATTTGATTTAGTGCTTTATTCACTAAAGTCCATAACATGCACAACGCGCCAGATCCACTTGATATGTTTACTAACGCGTTTTGACAATGATCAGATAACCCATATTTTTTTTAGTTTGATATTTTATTTTTTAATTTTTATTTTAATTGTTTTAAACTTCAAAAAATCCTAGAAAATTCATATTTAGTCCAAAAAATCTATAAAAGTTATGGAAAATATTTTTGATTTTTCTCTTTTTGATTTTTATTTTTCACAATTTTATGTTGTGTTTAGATATTTTTTTTAATAAATTTTCACTTTATTTGAATTGTTTTAAATGCTTAAAAATACTTTCATGCATTTTTAAATTTTGAAAAAATTATGGAATGATCAAATGATATTGTGACAAATTTTAGCGACCTCATTTATTTTTTATTTCTGAATTTGTTATTTTTTATTATTTTTGGCTTATTTTACTCATTTCTTTTAATTTTAAAAATAGTTTATGACTTTAAAAAATTACCAAAAATTTTTTAAAAATATTTGAGTTCATTTCTGATTTTTCTATGGTCTTACTTCATATTTCATGATTAATTTGAACATAGTTGATATTTTTATCTCTTATTTCTATTTAAAACATTTTAAAACTCTTTTGTTTAATGTAAATATTAAATATAATATTATTTTGTGATTATTTTCTGGCTGATCTTGGGTTGAATTTTTTATCATGAACTTTGTTAACATCATTGGATCCATGGTGTTGAGTCTAACTCCACAAAAATGGATGAATGATTTTAATAATAGTTTGATTAAATTTTAATTCGAGTGTGGTTTGTATATTCTTTCCTACCCTTCTTCATCGTATCCCTTTCTTATTGCACTAAGTGTTATTGGAGCATGATCTTTATATCATGTCTCAAAATAAATGGTGTATAAATTGCTATTGACCGGCCTCAAAATAGGTGCGACTTCTATATAAGTCCACTTACGATTGCTTAACATATCGCTAAATTTTGTCTCGATTCGAATAAATGATCATTCGTGGCCCAAACCTATGTTTGCAAGCCCAAGTATGTTAATTTGATCTCTTTGATCCAATAACCTTGAGATTCATTGTGTGGAGGCTTTGGTTCTACCAGTTCTCTAATGGATCTACATTACTTTTGGTCAACGCGAATGGCTTTGGTTCTACCAATCCTCTAATGAGTTCCAAATGCAAGTTTCAAGATTTTCATCCAACTAACCACTAATTATTAAATTGTTTTTACTTTATGCTTTTATTTTTATGCTTTATGTACCATTTACTTTAAGCATTACCTTTCATGTCATTTTTATTTTGCTCACTTGAGCATTTATATTCTTGTTATTTTTATTTTGTTCACTTGAGTTTTTCTTTTCTTTTTCAAGACACCTAATAATCAACATGAACCATAAAAAGCTTTAATGATACTTGGACTATTTGGTTACTATCCTTGACATTATGGAGTATTTGACTTCTTGGACTTAGGATTAGAAACTTTGGCCTATGTTGGAGACCTTGGACCTTAATTGATATTTTGTCTGGAGTTCTTGAGGTTATTGTGTGCAGGTTATTGCGATTACATTCTTTGTTTGTAATCTGGAATTCACCCGTATATAGCCGTTACTCTGCCCAATTTTTGTGAAGACTTAATACACTTGAAGTTTGGTTCTCTCAAGAGGTCTAGTATCTTTGCTTGTTTGATTTCAATCCAAGAAATGAGAATTCTATCTTGACTCACAATGTCAAGTATTGGCTTCTTGTTGGTTAGATGGTTCTTATCCCTAACTTTTGCCTTATGCTTTAGGATAGTCTCTTCTTCCCCTCCTATCTTCTTAAATTTCAAAAATCTTCCTCCACCTTTTGAAAACTCTTCTTGTTTTTAAATTTGAACCACTTTCATAATAAACTTGGACTTAGGTCCATGCATTTTCAAAACCTTTTCATGAATAAACTTCAATCAACTTAATAATACTTTGACATCATTTTTTGTGAGAAGATTAAAAGTCAATCAATCTCATTTCAAACCATTTTGCCACTTTGGAATTTTATTTTAAAATCTTTCTCAAAAGATTAGACTCTTGTCAATCCTTGTAATGATGCAAACAACTATACTTCTACAATATGTAGTGAAGAGAGATATTTTCCACTTGGGTGTTAAGTGAGTCGTTGTTGATTTTAAAATCAAAGTCATATCCTCCACTTTGAGATGATGCAAATTCTCCTTTCTCATGATTGTGGGTAGTAAGAATGTTTTCCACACGGACAATGAAGATGATGCCTTATCTCATAAAATTAACCAACACACTTGTGTTTTAAATTTTTTAAAGAGGAACTACGTGTACCCTGATCCTCTATTGCACGAAAGGTGGTACGTAGGAACTAAAGGTTCGCAACCACAGAGGGTGCAAAAATCATAAAAACTACTTCTTTTCTCACCTCCACCATATATTTTTTTATACAACATTTTATAGCCAAAATATACAGATCTTTCAAAGAGGTTCATGCGGAATACCGTGGATGTTTAGGGTGATAATACATTCCCTTTGCATAACCAACCCACTTACCTTGAATATTTGCCTCATCTTTTGGGTTATTCACTATTTTCTCATTCCTTTGGAAACAATAAAGTGCGGTGGTGATTTTTATTTTGATCTGTGTAAGTCTAGTCAATCTAATGACTTAGTCTTAAACATTTCTACCGCTAAACGCACACATCTGAATCATCCATTTGTTCTAGTTCTTGCCATTAAAAACAAGAAGTTTGGTACTCAGACTACCGTTTTCGTTCATCCTTAACATTGTAAAACTCACTCGGATCTCACAAGCACAGTGTTTCCCAACTTCACATAATAAAAAAAAATATGATTCTGTTACAATTTTGTTCAAAGATTCAACACGAACCCATAACCAAAATCAGTCACACAAACGTTGATGTTTCACTCGTGCTTCTCTGTGTTTCCATTTGGATCATAACCGGAGCTCTAGATACCAATTATTAGTGCATCAGTGATGAACAAAGAATGAATTTAAGAGAGCAAAGAGAATGACGGCAGTAAAAGCTGCAAGAGAAATAATGTTGTTGTATTTATGAAATTTATAACTAGTTTATTTATACACAAAAGAGAATACCACATATTCCCTAATAAAATAGGATTAATAATTAAGTTATCTAAAATGAATAGAAATATTAAAATACTTTTAAAAAAAAGTGAGTTCCTCTTAAATAGGAAGGGAGGTAGTATTCGATCCATTTTCCCTTAAACTCATTTTCTACCTCAAATATCAATAAAACAAATTACTAACAACAATATCACAGAGTAAAACAACAGTTGAACCACACCAATAATTGAAGCAAGAAGGATCCAGAAAACTCACGGCGGCCGGAAAGCTTGCGAACGAGTGGCTGTGACGCGGTATTGGTTGTGTGCAGCCGGATTTAGCGGTGACGAGAGAGGTCTCCGGCGGGCGTTGTTATTGCGGCGTGATAAGCGTGACGGATAATCTGGTGATGTGTGCGCGGAGGTTCAACGGTGAAGCCTTGGAGCTCGTCAGATGAAGGACCCGATGGTGCTGTGCGGTACGTCAATTGTGTGGCGTGAGGCGGAGCGGCTTTGCTGAGGCGGATTTGCAAGTGCAGGGACTTGAAGGTATCGAACTCAGAGGCAAAGCTCGGCAGTGAATCGTGCGATGAAGTCTTAGTTTCTCTCTCAAATTTTCGGTTTAAGATTTCGGTCCTCTGCTCTGTGAATTCGTCTGCCTTTTTATAGTTGAAGTTAGGGTGAAAAGTCTTGAATGTTGATTGTTCTGATTTAGGAAGAGAATTGTCAATTGTTGTAATTTTGTATGATGATTCAAATTAGTTTAATGATTTGGATCTTGAGTAATCGTATCATCAACAATTTGTGATATGTTTTGAGCAAATTTTGTTTGTGATTGAAGATAAAATTTGGAAGATATTGTGGCTTTTGGACCTTTGCTCATGAGCTTTGAATTGGGATTGCAATTAATTTGATTCACTCTTTTGGGATTCAAGCTCTTATATTTGGAGAGATTTGATCTGATATGTGCATGATTTTGGAACCTTGGGACTCAGACTCTTTGCGAAAGAAAACTTCTTTTGGCCATTCACGATTTTTTTGTTTTTTTAATAATAATAATAACAAAATCATAATATTAAAAAGAGATAAATCTAATAATAAAACTTAATAACAATGTTAATTATAGAACCTAAAAATAAAATCTAGAATATACCTAATAATCTTAAGGGTTAGATGCATTTTATCCTCCTGCAAAAGTAGGGAGTTTTAATTTGTCCCACTTTTAAATAAATTTTTTTTTAGTCCCTCAACAAAACAAGATTTCTTCAAACTTGATATTGGGTCAAGATTCCAGCAGAACATACTTGGTGTTTGATGTTGTTTTTTTATTTTTTTTATTTTTCTTTTAAATTCCACGTGGAAATTTGATTATTTTTTAATTTTTTATTAAGTTTTTATTTTATTTTAATTTTCTCCCACTATGACAAACTTATTATTTTTGTTTTATTTATCCCATATTAATTTAATACATTAATTTTGTGTGGTATTTATTTTTTCCGGTAGGCACTTAATTTTGTTTTTTTGGACGGTCGAAAATACGAATCTAATAGTATATGTAATCAAAAATATAGTATACACGTGAATAGAAAATACGAATCTAATAAATTAATAGTTAAAATATATTGTATTTTGTTGAGGTTTTTTTTCTTCTGAAAAACAAGTAAATATAACAGGAGTATTAGAGATACTCAACCCTACTTACAACAGCAAGATTCCAATAAATGCGCCCTATTTAAAACACGCATTTTGGTCCTTATATAAGCTAATATATTTATGTATCTCCAATAACTAATAATTCAGAATACCTATGAGAAGTTAATAATAATGCCCAGGTAATAACAACTTAGACTAAATATTTTAGAGACTAATTAATTTTACAATATCACCCAACCCAATTAGAATTAAATTCTTTTAATAACTATTTCTTTCATATTTTTCTTTTTTTATATGTCAAAATAATTAATTTCAATTAGATAACAATATAAAATAGTTTTAAATTGACAATATATTTTAATTAATCTTAATATTTTATTGGGTTAGATGCACTTTACCCCTACAATAGTAGCGAGTTTTGGTTTACCCCCTTTTAAAAAAAAAATTATTTTCACCCCTTAACAAATATATATTCCAAAAGAGAAAATCTTACCGCCCAAGATTCCCTTTGAATTTCTGTCGTGGCATGTGACACTCTTGCCGACTCTATAATTAAATGTCACCTTGGCTTTTTTTAAATATTTTTATTTAAGAGACTTGTATCCTAAATTAAATTAATTATCAAAATATATTATTTAGGCTTAAGTCCATTTTTTATTTACTTGATTAAATACCCATTTACCCATACCTGTCCATTTTCAATTCATTTAGAGTTGTGTTTCTTTGTTATATAAACACTATTTCTATTCCTATTACAAGCAATGTGGGGCTCTTAAAATATCACAACCAATCTATTGCATATTTTATAGCTTATCAATCTCTAACTAAATAATTCATAGTTAATTAAAGACCCGGTCCCATGACAAAACCTCAATCTCTAACTAAATTTGAGGTTTATCTGCATGCAAAGGCAACATCATCAGGTTAGGATAAACATAAACAAAGGACATTGTCCCATGACAAATACTACTATTCTTATAACATACTATACTAGCCAATAATTTATGTGTTTGTGTTGCACCATCGTTGATCATAAACAGTGATTTATAATAAAATTATATATCACCTACTTACAAGTTATGGAGTTCCCTTCACTTCAAAAAAATTCCACAATAGTGAGACATTTTACTAATTCATTACTGGTGTGTTTGAAAGAACCTATTTACAACTTATATATGTTTGATGGAGATTTTAAATTTTGTTTATGACATGTTTATAAGTTGTTTTCAGCTTATTTCAACAATATGTTTAGAATATCTTTTGAATATTATTTACAACTTGAATAGAAACAAGTGTTTATATAAGTTGTTACTCAAATTCACCTCACTATAAACAAGATTTTCTCTTCATGTTTTTGTGGAATTGACAAAGATGTATCTTCAAACATATTCTTAATATGTAGTTGAACATTTTTTGTAGCTTACTTGAGTTTGACTAATCAAACCTCACATTTTTTTGAACCTGATTAACATCAGTCCATTTATTATCCTAGATGTGCAAATAAAGATGAACCCTTGAATATGTCTGAAATGAAATGCGTAAACTTTCTTGAACAGAAAATTTCGACGACATAGTCTTCTCAAACATAAATATAAGCACAAGATACCATGATCCATTATAGTGGGGTAGAGCTGAGCCTATCTATGTCAAAACTTTCCCAAGAGACTCAACCTCGAAAGAGGCTTCAATCTCAAATGTCTGGTTCATCAATATCACAACAAATTCTGAAAATCTTGATATGCAAAAAAGTTACTTAGTTAGAGATTGATAAGCTATAGAATTGCAATAGATTAACTATGAATTATTTAGTTAGAGATTGATTTAGTTAGAGAGTATCCAAGAGTGTCACAACCAATTTTTGAACTCTACATTTTAAGAGTCCCACATTGCTTGTAATAGTAATAGAAATAGTATTTATATAACAAAGAAACACAACTCTAAATAAATTGAAAATGGACAGGTATGTGTAAATGGGCCTTTAATCAAGTAAATCAAAAATGGGCTGAAGCCTAAATAATATATTTTGATAATTAATTTAATTTAGGATCCAAGTCTTGTAAATAAAAATATTGAAAAAAATTCAAAGGGAATATTGGACGGTAAGGTTTTCTACTTTGGAATCTATATTTGTTAAGGGGCGAAAAGAATTATTCTACTTTGGAATCTATATTTGTTAAGGGGCGAAAAGAATTATTTTTAAAAATGGGGTAAATCAAAACTCGTTACTGGGGTAAAGTGCATTTAACCCTATTTTATTACATAATGTGTGCATCACAATTTTTTTGTTGACAAAGTAATTCATGATTTTCACCAGATTGTTTTTATATTGACCTTAATTTTTTTTCTAGTGTTCATTATGTCAAGCGTTTGTTTAAAATTGTATTATCGATGATTCAACTTGATCAAGTTATATTTTATCCAACCATCAGTACCTATGAAATATTCTCGAAACTCGATCTTTGTCTCCCTCCTGTTGTCAGAATTAAGGAGCAAACCATTCAACATTTGTCAGCAAAATCTCGACCGTCCAAAAAAACAAAATTAAGTATCACACGAAATTAATGTATCAAATTAATATGGGATAAATAAAACAAAACAATAAGCTTGTCCAAATGGGAGAAAATAAAAATTAAAAAAAATTATTAAATTTTTTTTTAAAACAATGGTAAAAAAATTTGAAAAAATTTTTAAAATTTTTTTAAAAAAAATTTATAAAATTTTTTAAAATATTAAAAAAAATTTTAAAAATTAAAAAGAATTAAAAAATTAAAAAAAATAATCAAATTTCCACGTGGAATTTAAAAAAATTAAAAAATAAATAAAAAAAACCACATCAAATTTGACCCAAGGTCAAATTTGAGAGAATCTTATTTTATTGAGGGGCTAAAAGAAGAAAAAAAATTAAAAGGAGGATAAATAAAAACTCATTACTATTGCAGGGGATACAATGCATTTAACCCTAATCTTAATAAATAAAACCTCGTAATTAGTGTCTACTAAAAATCAAAGATTCTAAACTTTTTTAAACCAAAATTAAGAAATAAAATTTAAAATTTTAAACATAATAGTTATGAAACCAAAATTAGATTAAAAAAAATGAAATCAAATTTCCTATTTCTAAAACTAATAATAATAAGAAATAAATAAATAACAAGTGAAAAAAGAGATAAATGAATAAAATTAAAAAAGTTAGTAAGAATGAAAAAAATGAGGCAAAAATAACATAAAAGGAAATAAATGAGATTTGAACTCAGGACCTCACAACATGTACTTCTTACACTCATTTCACTACCTGTTAGACCATTCCGTTCATTCGAGATAGAATGATGTTTAGAAATATATGAAGGGTGGAGAATTTTAGGGTATTGCAATACTCTTGAAAACCTTTGAAGAAGATAACATAGGCACATGATGTTGTGCATTCAAACCCTTTCTAACTAGAGTAAAATAGACAAATGAATCCTCTTTGAATAGGGAAAACCAAAATCACAAGAAAACTCTTGAACCCATGCCTTGTAACTCAATGAAAGTGCGTGATGGTGATTTTATGACCTAATGGAGTATGCATATGAAAGAAGAGCAAAAGCCAATGTGGGTTAGGTGCATGAGGGCAAATTTCAGGATGCAACAATTGTCAACCCTGAAGAAAATATATGGTGACTATCTCTTTACTCATGTCTTAAGAGAAGGAAAGTTTGTCTACCATCTATAATTTGCAGAGTGAGGTGACTCTATTAACCTTCAAACTTGATATAATAATCAAGTCTGTAAGGATAGTCCAGTTCAGTTGGAAGAGGTTCCTTAAGTAGGAAGATGGTAAAAGCCTAAAAGGGATAGATTTTTCAAGCTATAACTAGCAAAGAGAAAACTCAAGTGACAAAAGGTTGTTTTCATCAAAAGGTAAGTTGAGTCAAGGATGTCAATCTTAACGTCTCAATATTGTGCTAGACATCAGAATACTCACGCTCAAGGAAGATACTTGCACTGAAGATGTTTCTTCTGTGAAAAGTTAATCTTAACATGCTCTTTTTGTTTTCTTTGACTTCCTCAAAGGTCAAACTTAGAATTGGCTAACCAAGCAGTGGTTAAAACTCAGGAAGGTGTTAATTTCCTTATTTCTCATACCTTTCTTAAAACTTCAACTAAGATGATTGGTATTTTGACACTGACTGTCCCAAACACTTGACTGCAGTAAAGGTGTTTCTGGTGGTTTGTTTAGTCTCATCGTATCCAATGTTACTTTTTTTGTTGATGCTAAAAGGGAAGATTAATAGAATTGAATAACTAAAGAATACATGATGTATTCTCTAAGTTTTGGTAATGATCTTCTTACTAAAGGACTAGTGACTATTGTGTTAAACATAAGTCAGTTGTGTGATCAAGGCCTGAAGGTATATGTCATCAAGGAAGAATTTTATGTCTCTAATGAGATGCATGGAGTTCTTATGATGATTTAAAAACAATTTCTATTTGTGGACTCCACGAGTATTTAATTTCTTATCCTCTTGCTTGATATTCAAGGAAGATGAAGTCAAGATGTCACACCAGAAGGTGCAACATCAGACTATTGCAAAAGCTCTAGAACTTATTTAATGGATCTGACTAGTCCAATGCAAGGTAAGTGTCCTTGTGGATATAGACATGTATGATTTTCTTTTGTGATCTATAGCAAGGAAAAATATATTATTTGTGAACTCTTCAAAGGTTCTTATCTACTTCTTGAATGAGAACAAGGTATGCTTCTGAGTTACTCTACTGAGAGAAGTACTTTAAGTAATGTTAACTTCAGAACCAGAATTAGTGATTTATTCATTGAGAAAGAGACTCATGTTCAACCAGATGTTGGAACATCATCTCAGCAATTTGTTACTCTGGAAATTGTGAAAGACTCTAAAGGGAAAGCAGGCACTGAGTAAGAAAGCTCTCAAGAAAATAAATTTTTTCTAAAAGGGAGTTCATCATTTGGAGTTTATTTTAGTCTGTGATCATTAGTAGGTTCAGAGATGAAATATCTAATAATGGCGAGTCTTCGAGTAACAACTATTGGCCAAGTCTAAGGGAGATAGTATTAATGGAGGATATTCTTGTTTAA